TGAAATAAAATAGACATCCATTGAATCTCTCATGTCTAATTTATGTTATTTATTATGGTCTAAAATGAACTGTTAGAATTAATTACAAAATATTCAAAGTTAAATGAATTATTTGTTGAAATTAAAAATTAAAATAGTGAATGATAAGCTAGATATTTCGTAATTAATCATTCATAAAATTCATTTTCAATCTAAAATAATAATATTGATTCCGATCCTCGGATTAGATCCAGTGATATTTTCACGTGGTGAATGCTCATTTTGTACAGCCTTTTGTCTGGTGTTTTTTCATAATAAGGTGAGGTCTCCGTCCCTCTGATAATATCTGTAGAGTCAGTAAGGTCATTTAATGCCCCTTGCCCCTTCTTTCCATAGAATAGTTCAGTGAATAAATGCGTACCACCTGAGTGGGACAAGGGATATGATAATATATATAGCAGATACATTTTACAAGGATAATATATTAATTAGAGAAGAAAATAAGATTAATAAATTAAATTTAAATAATATTTTTTTAATTAATTAACTTTTTGCAATTCTTAGCCTTTTCATCCATAACGTCAATGGCCCAGTACGTAGAACCATCGGATGTGTTTTTGGGCTTTTTAAAGCCCAATGAACGCTCACAAAGGTTGCCCGTCAAGTAAGTCCATATCAGCTAATTTCTTGATAATAAAATTTCAAAAATAAATTCAAAAGAAAAATCAAAATATCTCACATATGGAAAAAAAAAAATCAGAAAAATACCCCATTATAACCTGGCCAATAAAAACTCAACTATTGCCCCATTTCACCATGGAATATTTGGACGGCCTAGCCCGATTTCCACTCCCTTAACTATCATGGGCCGTCGATAATATCCACGGTAATGGTGAGATAAATATTGGGGGTAACGGTGATATAAACTCATCGATAACACGTAATGTCACCATACAATAATATATTTATAAATAAGCATGGTGAACTCCATTTGGATACATGGTAGGGTGGTTATTATAATATATGAGATTCACTTACTTATTTGTTGTGTTTTTATTAAATGGTAACACTACATGAAAATGATGATATGGTGTCACCATTACACCTAAGATTTTTTCATTGAGAAGGTAGCGATCATGCGACTGACCATCAAATAAAACTCAAAATAATTACCTAATCATTCTCCAGAGCAACTCAGTAAAAAGGCAAAGGAGGAGGAGGACCACATCCACAAAGCCCTGCAATGAGAAACAATGGGCACAGGCACAGAGCCACAGAGACAGGCAATTAAGGTCCCCCTAGAGGACCATCTAACGAGGAGTAGAAGGCCAGTTTCATAGTATGAAGCAGGCTTGCTCCACAGGGAGCAACACACCCATATAATATATCACTACTTAACCTAGAATCTAACAAAAAAACGAAACCATAAGGTTCCTTGCACCATCTCTTTCAAGTACTATAGTGTTTAGCTGTCCATGTTTTGCTATGAAAGTGATACCACAATGCAGGTACTGTTGAATAATACCCAAATAAAGAGGACCCATGTCCTAACATATCTTAATTGTCGACCAGAGATGAATATTTTAAGTTGAAGCTTTTTTATTAAGTTTGGATTCTAATTTTTTGATTTCTCGTTCCTATGCTTAGAGGGTATATTTTGTTTTCTTTACATTACGTAAGTGTTTGCGGTAAGATTACATGTTGTGTTTGTTTATTTGTATGGAACCCAAGTACTTATACATTTTTTTTTTTTATTGATAAGTACTTATAGATTTTACATACTAAACAATAGTGCTTCCAACCCAAATATATATATATTTATATATTTTGGCATCTTGGCTTCTATCACTTGATGGCCAATGTAAAGGATATGAACCATGGAAGAAGCCTATAGAATTCCTTCCATGACTTATGAACGCATCTATAAAACTTACTCTTTAAAAAAATCTTGTAAGCGAAAGGTGTCTAGAACTTGTAAATATCGCCGATTACCTAGTTACAATCTCCAAATATTTGATCTATGTTCAGTTCCAATCAAGAATCATTTAGTGGGTGGCCCCCTTCTTACCTGCCCCCATGAAATTCTCAAGCCTTCCCCGGATTCCCCGTACAAATTTCCTTTCAATTTTCCCTTCGTAATCATCCACGTGATCTTCTTCATGAAATTTCCTTGACTTAGTCTTCAAATTATTGCAAATTACTGTTACACAGCTCGTGCACAACAAGGTTAAAATGATATGATTTTTATCCAAAGACTAAGAGGAGCTATTCGGACTCGGCTTGAATATGACTTGATTCGAACTTCACTTATATTCTAAACGATATGAATTTAAAAAGTTCAGAAGCTCATACAATTCAATTTTTTTATATATAAAATAATCGACGTACTTGAGTTCAGTCCGAACTTAAATTTTATACGAGTCAAACTTAAATAAATTTTTATATTCATTTCAAAAAACAAGCCCAATAGACCCAAATTCAAACTCCAACTCACAAAACTAAATTTAATTAACACCTCTGGCTCCCCCTTTCCCTCAAAAAAAAAAAAAAATGCTGTCTTACAATAAGTATTCACTTATCCAACCTGCCCCTAACAAATTAGTAATGATGATTGTTGACTAAACCAAATAATGGGTCTTTTACTTTTGATCTTCTTTTTGTCATAAATGAAGAAGTATCTGTTTGCTTTTTGAATATTTTCCACAAGACTAGCAATCTTTTTTCATCTTTAAACTCTACTGTTGGCTTTTGAGCTGCTAAGATGTTATGTTTCTTGGAGTGTTCCCTTTTATTTATATTCCCTCCTTTTCCCATCTCTATCCTATCAAGGTCCATTCCCATTTTATTTTTATTCTTTTCTTAGCGTGTTTTGCATTTCTCTTTCCATGTATTGGGAAAAAGATGGATTCTCCATCTTCACTGATCTGTGATGCATTCAACTAAATCCCTACAATGATAGCCACTAATGAAAACTGGAAAAATACTGGCATTCACTAAACGCCGGAAAAACCCAGAAGAAAAAGAATATATTCTTAGTGTTTATCCAGTTTGATACATATTTTGAGGTCCTAGAATACTGTCATCTTTGATTAGTAATAGTCCTCAGCTTGTATTAGATGAGATCTACTATCATTATTCCTACAATATCTAAGTCTTAGGGTCGTAAATTAGATAAATAAATGCAGCCTAGAAGGATGCCGAGAAATGGACACCAGTGCTTCTACAAGGGAAGATAAATGTTGACTCCATTGCCAGAGTACAATCACCGGAAGGCCAAACACCGACTATTTAACCAAACGCCGGCATAACCTTATATTATAGTCTTGGAGTTGCCACACTGTAAAACATCTCAAACCATACTGGATAAGACTGCCTTTAGTTTTTTTTTTGTTATAAAAAATAGATATGTAAATAGGTCACTCCATATATTCGCCACTATCTGTAGAAAAATTTACCTCACCTACATTTGGGTGTTGAAGAGAAGATTTAGTCCCCACGAAATACCATAGTTAGAGAGATTCGAACACAAGTATTGAACGAAAAAATTCAAATTTTTACTCACTAGACCAACTGCACGGTGGTGAATGAGCTTTAGTTTTGAACATGGCTTAAGGAGCTTAGTGCCATCTTAGCTTCAGAGATTAGCACTATAGGTTATCTGCAATTATTTCACCTATATGAAACTTTTTGAAATTAATATATACGACAATAACATCAAGATTGCATAATCAGGCTGGATATAGGCTGAGTTGGTTGTTTGCCTTAAGGGTAGGGAAGGACCCCCCCCCCCCCCTCTTTCCCAAACACCCCCCAACCCCTCCCCTCTAGTTTTGGAAGACTGGTGGCTGCATGTCAATCACTTTGCCTACTGTGAAGCATAAGAAAAGTGGATTGCACATTCACAAATCAACTTTTGCTGTTAATTTAGACTCCTAACAGATAATGTGAACGCATATGGGGTTTTATTCAACTCTATTTTGGTTCAACTTTTCCAGCCTTTCCGGCACCATTTCCTCATTGTCTCCCCCCTCCCCCCAATTATGCGAATTCCTGTAGCCCAAGCCACTGTTTTTTAGAGGAGTAATGTTATATGAATTTAAAAATTAGACTTGATAATTATAACCATTAATTTCACTGTGAGTCCTAATATTTATTGGGATCCATTAACTATTCAATTGTTAAGATTATCAAATCTAATTTTTAAATTTTTTTAGATCCTATACAAAAAAAAATTCATCTCAATCATATATATCTTTTATACTCGCTAGATGGCGATACACATGACAATATCTTATTCGACCACTAAATCTAAAATCGCGACCGAGTTCACTTAAACGTGTAACAGAAGCGGTCACACGTGCGATTTCTCGCAATCAAGGCAACTGATTAATTATTTGGCACGTCCACACCAGGACATGGAATTACTTTTTGGTCCAATATTACACCAAGTGGAGTTTAAAAAGCTAAAGAGATTTTAACCAGAAAGTCTTTACATAAAAAAGCAGACAAAAATCCCTACCTAATTATGACTATTAATTCTTAGAATAAACCAACCAAAGCACTCATTTACGAATCTCTCTCAACCTTTTTTTGAATAATGAGAGAGAATGTCTGTTGCCTTTGGGGAAAGCTGAGATGAGAAAAGAGGAATGGCAATGATGGTGTAATGCAGATTGCGGACCAGATTGAGAGATGAAAAGAGAGATTGTAGTCAAACCAATACCCTTTTGCATTATTGGGAAGGCATTGAGCTGAGTTTTGTACTTAGAAGCACCTCAAAAGAAGAAAAGCAGATTCAATTATGCCTGGGTCATATCAATATTTTGATAAACCATAGTTGAAGATTACAATATCAACTTGGATGTGAATTGTTATCGTGATTCGGATAAAATTTATTCAATATCAACTCAAACGATGCTAATATCCATAAATAGGGTCATATCATGACGTCAAATAACTACTATGACTCATGATTTTCATTCAAAGATGTCTCGCCCATCGCGATTAAATTGAGTGAGACTATTAATTTACATGAAACGAAAAACAGGATCAAAACGGAAGGTGCTTCTTACATCAAACCACAAAAATCAATCCAGAGACCTCTCGAACATTTCCCTCCAATTTGCAAAGTCCCCGTTTCAATATGAGCCAAAAGATTTTGGTTTGAAAAAAGTTTCCATCACTTGCATACAGACAGATAACTGGCCCCCACCCGTCTTTCATTAAAATCCCCCAATGTCATCCACTAACACCTTAAAAAAACACAAAAAAGTAGCTAAAATCCTACATCATCCATTTCCACCACCACCAAGTTCTTTGTTTTTTTCTTTCTTGTTCATGCAAAACTTACATGTAACAAAACACATCAAGTCTTAGGCATCACTCCAAGCAGCAAACACAGGCAAGTGAGCCATGGAGATTGGGGCAGGCCTCAGCTGAGTTGAGGAAACCCAAGAGTTCAAAGGTGTTGCTGGACTAATGAACTTAGTTGCCAAGGTAGGCTTCGAAAAGAGCATGGATGCACCAATTTTATCAGGGCTAGCTTCTCTGGAGTTGCTCAAGCTGGTAACCAGGGAGGTTGGATTTGAAAACTGAGCCCCAAGCTTGCTCGAATCATTTCCCGTCAGCTGGCTTTGGTTCGAGTTCACTGAATGAATCCCAATTAGATCATGTAAAGCAATTGAGATAGATGGGTTTCGATAATTTGCAATAGTCAATGCTTTCTCATTAAGTGGTTCCACACAAGCATTTTGGTGTTGCAGTGGGGACTGATATAAGCCCATTTTCCAATCTGAACCGTTCCCATTGTTCTCTGATTGAACAAGTTCCTCACAATCTATTGTTAATTGGTTTTGCTCAATCACCTCAGTGTTTGGTTCTCTCTCTTTGTTTCGCTTAGCAAGCTCTCCAGTAGGTAGAGTATTGCTAGCCATAATCCTTTCCACATCATATCGTGTTATGTCAAAGTTGGTGACAGCATTCACCCCACGGAACTTAATCGCAGCAATATCGTAAGCTTCAGCAGCTTCCTCCTGGGTGCCTGAAATTTACACCTAGTGAGAAAGCTTGAACAAGATTCCAAGAGCTTAGCATAGAAGACGTTACTAAAAACACTTCAGCCTTTAATCAAACATTTGTACCAAGGATACTATTTTGATTCTCTTTGACATCTGATCTGTAAGAACAGCCTTAAAAAACAGTCCACTGTTACTTTAAATCAGTAACCTATAGTCCAAAAGTAACTCATAAACACCTTACAAAAGCATCACTGTCGGCTCAAAAAAGATAAACAAGAGAGCAGAGAGAATAAACTCTCATTCCTGCCCCAGTGGTTCATCAAGATCCTAATAGACAATCCAATCATATTATTACTCAAATTATGCAGGCAAACAAGCCCATCAACCAACTCAAGCTGGATTAAAGTTCCTAGAACACTGAAAATTGCAAGAATACTATAAGCCAACAGAACAAGGAACTTACTGAACGTCCCAAGATAGAGGTCCTTGTTTCCTGCAACCCGTCCAATTCGAGCTTGCCATCTTCCATGTTGATGATGCCTGTAAAACATAAAATCCTCAGAAGGATGAACAACATATACTAACAAAATGGTGATGATCAGAATGAAAAATCTAAGAAAACCTGGTTACTCCTCTGTACATCGAAGCCCCTCTCGAAAACCCACTACTCTTTCTGAAAATCGAAGGGGAATTTGAGTTGTATATCAGTTTATTACCCTCATATAAACTAGGAACCATGGTAATGGTTTAACTAAATGAATTTACCTTCTCAAGTGAGCAACATATTCTTGACGGCTCATGTTCTTCATCCCCTCGAGCTCTTGATGGTAGTTCTCCAACTGAAAAAATAACACACGAATTGTCTTTCATTTTAGTCATCATCGGAAAGCATCAACATAACAATAGACACACCGAAGTGAATCAAACCATACGGGAAAGTTAATATAGGTTGCAGAACCCCAGTACTTAAGTGCAGCAAGGTCGTAGGCTCTTGCAGCTTTATCTTCCATATCATAACCCCCTGAAGTTGCAAAGTTTCAATTCGGTTTATGTGGGAAGATATTGAGACAATCATTTATCATAATGTCATGATTTGTTTGAAAAAAAGGCTTACCCAGATAAACTAAAATATGTATCATTTGATTCGAACAGTACATCCCCAGCAAAAAATTGAACATGAAAAACAGCAGTAGGAACAGTCAGATCATGTTCACAAAGGCCAACATTTATAGTCAAAAGCTCTACATTCAAACCAAGTGTAAGAAGTCTGTTTTGTTCGCTAACCTTGCCTTCCTTTTCTCGTTTGACCTTCCTTCTTGCAACTGTTATCCCACAGATGGGCCTCATACCTACCTGTCCATCGATGTCTGTCCGAAGTATATTGGGATGGGTTACTTTCAAATTTGAATGGAAAGATTAAAAGAAAATTGCAGACTAGACAGGGAAAAACAAAAGCCAAAAACATTGAGATTCAAAAAGAGAGAACTCATCCAACGCAAGGGAAACAAATATAGTTCAGTGTACTGACCTTGTGACACCTCTGTACTGCGATGTTCTCTGACCAAATGTGTCTATGGACTTCCTATGAACAGGCTGTTTACTTGCAACTTTTCCGGCTCCTCTCTTCTTTGTTTCAATGGCCATACACTCAGCTCCAGTGGGTGAGATCTGTCTTGAAGCTGTCACACAGCTTGACTGAGAACCAGGGCTCATCGACAAAGACAGAGACTGTAAATCACCAACACCCATTGGACCAGCATCTACCATACTGGTATTTATCTGCTGCTGGCCAAGTTCATGATGATCCGCAACCCAGTTCTTCAGGAAAGGTGGATCATCCCCAGGCATTGGAGGCATTTGAGTGCCACAATCTGGAAGCTGAGTCTCTTTAGGTTCATCTCCTGGAGGTGTCTGGTACATAGTATGGCATGGCAGTCCAGAATAATATGGGTGGTGTTGAACTTGAATCTCTTGTTCTTGTCTGAAGGGTTCTTGAAGAAAGGCTAGGGAGTGTTGCCTGTTGTTCTCTGACTCAGAATTTTGGGAGTAATACATGCTGTCTAAGCTGAGAGCCATTGCTTCTCTCTCTTGGCTATCATATTGATGGGCCGCCATTGTTGCACCACCCAAAAAGTCCTCCAGTTTGGGAGAGGAGTTTGGCACCATAACTTAACACAAGAACATAAAAAAATTTTACAAGAAAAATAAAGAAATAAAAGAGTTCAAAAAAGTATTTAATACCCCAGGGAAAATAAAAAAAATAAACACTAGTGGGAAACAGAAGCTAACCTTCTGGTTGCGATCTAGCGAGAGCTTCCATTATACAAAGAGAACCATCCGACTTCAGAGGCATTACAGACAAAGGGGAGTTAAACCCACCATTTTCTTCTACCCCGTAACAGATTGCAGAGCTGTTGAGGTGGGAAGAAGAGATATAAAAACCTGTTGGGACAGCTGTAGCAGCAGATTGATGACTATACCGTTGATGATGATGATGTTGTTGAGCTTCTGAAGTAGCTTCCATTTTCATGTGGGGTGAGAGAGAGAAACCCAGCCAGTTATTATTATTGTTACTGCCATTGTTATCATCACTCATGGACTTCATCTTCTACCTTTCTCTCTCTTTGCTTCTTTCGGAGGTTCTTAGCAGTATTTCCTGAACGTCAAGGCAGCTCAATCATTGGGGAGCAAATAAAGTAATCATTTCAAAAATCTATTTGCTTCAAAGCTCTCACAGCTGAAAAACTTGGTTTTTTGTAGTCTAGCTACAGAACTCACGAAGCCAAGAAAATATCCCCACCAGCCAAACTCTCTTCTATATGTGCACACCCCCCTCAAAATCTCTCTCTCTCTCTCTCTCTCTCTCTCTCTCCCTTTAAACTAAACAAAAGGAATGAACACCAGCGAGCAACAATGCTGGGAAGCACCCCTGCATTCCATAGGGATCTGTGTATATATATGTGAGAAAGACCACGCCTTTTGCTTTTATCTCTCACACATCGTCTTCCCTCTCTGCATCTCTTTTTTTTTTTCCCCTTAACAGACCCTTAAACCCTACTTAAAACCCAGTATACAATAAAATACCAAAACCCAAAAACCACCCATTCCTTCTCTAATGACCTAGTTAGACTTGTTCATTTACTCTCCCAAAACCCAGTATTTATTATGAAGTAATAAGTGATTCTCTCCCTCCCTCTCACTCTCCCCATCGTACTCCGTTGTTCTCTCTCTCTCTCTCTCTCTCTCTCTCTCATATCAGTAGTCGTTTCAATCTAGTGGGTATATAAGGGCCAATGGGTGAGGACTTTAGGAGAGAGAGGTAATGAGGGGTAGCCAAAACAAGTTTGCTTTATTTTTACAGTCCACAGGGCCTTGGCTTGGATAGATTTGACGCGCAGGACATCTGCCCATCCAGTCACTTCATACAGTACAGCTCTCTGTACCAGCGGGTCTGCAAAACTGCAACTCTGCAGCAAAGACTCCAATTTCAAAACTAAATGTTTGCCTTTCAACTTAATCGTAAATTCTCTCTCCTCCAGCTTGTTCCCAACTTTCACTTCAGATCCAAATGGGAACACGTAATATCACAGCCCCAAGCTACTGTGAGTACCTTGGAAGGTGGTTCCTTACTAGATCCCATTCAATGTTTTTTTTTTTTTTTTTCCAAATAGTCTATTATATATTAGTGGTAATAAATTTATCCAAATATAATGAATCTTATTTAAATTCATAATAAATAATTTATCAAAAATTATATTTCTTTAGATAATATTTATATGCTACTCGAAATTAACTAGTTGTTACTGACTTTAAAAAATCATCGTGTGAAAAATTATAAATCTTAAATTAGGATCGTATTTCTAACATTTTTGTTGAAGTAAAAACAACAGAAGCCATCCTTAGAGAAAATTTATTTTGCTTTCTTTTTTTTTTTTTAAGGCAATGTTTGTGTAGTAGTCAACACCTGCTTTGAGACAGAAAGTAGGAGGTGGGTCTCTCAAATGCTCGAAATATTCCAAGAATGATGAGCAAAGGGCCCTCAAAAACGAGCCTTTTTTTTTTCTGAAAAATGCTATTTTGTTTACCATCTGACATCTCTATTTTAATTTATATTTTATTCAAAGGATATGCTGTTTTTCCATATGTGCTTTGTAAGAGAATGCCTCATATACCTTTCTTGTGGTTGTCACTAAAGAATGTCTTACGCCTAAAGTAGGTAGATCAAAGGTATATCGATCTCTTTATCAGTTTTGTAATAACTTTTGACCAAAAAAAAAAACAGGCATAACTAATGTCCCGCGGTGTTAAGTATACGTCAATTTCAATATTTTTTACAAGAACAATGTTATTAAAACTTAAAAATTTGACTTAATTTATTAACGTAATTCACTGTGTCATTTACATTGACTGTAAGTTTTTATCAAACATTAAAATTTAGTGTTGATTCAATAAATTAGATCAATTTTTTAAGTACAAATAGCATTACTCTTTTCACAATCCTTAAATACTAATTTTCACACAACCATTTTTGTTTTTGAGGCAGCTAGGATACAGTCCTTTATTATGCAACTCATCAACCATCGATCATTATTTGGTTAAAAAAAATTATTGCTAGACTGAGATTATGATTTCATAACTGAAAAACATCAAATGGGTGGCCCAAAAAAAAACAAATAAATGAACTTTCCAGTTCAACCACGAGGCGATGCCCCTTATTCTGTACTCATACTATTGCAAGATCAAGTCACATCCTAAGTAAATGTTCTTACTTCCCGAACAATATCACAGAGGTGTGACACCAAATCAGGGTGACATTGTTTCCCACCCAATGACATCAAACGTATGCTGCAATAGATACCATATGGTTCAGTAAACATTAATCTGATGGTCTCTGAAGTCCTCTTCAATCTTTCCTTTGTTCGATTTTCTTGATAAATGTCAGTGTGTAGATTTTAGGTGGGTGGGTGGGTGTGTGTGTGTGTGTGGGGGGGGGGGGGGGGGGGAATTTAAAGTTTATTTTTGGTGAGTTCTTCACTTTCTATGCCTGTAGTGGTACTTTCTTTTTTCGTGAGGAGGAGGGATGTTGCCATGCAGTTGTGCATGAAGCCTTTTTTTCCATGGAGACAGATTTTCAAATGTTAATGATTTGGTCTCTGAAACTTTGAAACGAAGACTGAGTTTTTGGGTGGGAAAGGAAGCATTATGGAGTGTTTATGCATGTAGAGGTGGGAATGGGAGTGGGAGTGGGAGTGGGATTCTTTTGATTATATGGCAATCATGAGTGAATCCACCAGCACTAGCCACAGAAAGCACTACCCTTTTTCTGCCCATGAAATAATGAATCCTTGGCCAAGAGATCTCACTTTCAATTTCATTATATATATTTTTTTATTTCTCAATAATTCTTTAAACTATAAATACAATAATAGTATAAGATTCAAAATACATGCAATTAATTGCAAATTACGTGCATCTAATTGAAAAGGGTATAACTCCTTAGAGCATCTTCAATTCACTCTCTATTTATTCTCTTTTAACTAGTCAAACAAAAAAAATCATCTCCAACCCACTCTCTATTTCTCATTTCACCCATGGAGAGTCATTTAGTCTCTCTAAATTTTCTCTTTCTCTATATATATGTTGTTATTCTTTTAAATTATTGGAAATTAGTAAATGTTGAATGAAATAGTTAGTTAAAATAGAAAATGCAGTTATAATGAATTTGTAAAATTAGATAGATAAAGTAGAGAATGTAATATTTAAAAATATTTTTGACTAACAATTTTAGAGAGGTAGTTGGAGATTGAAAATGAGTCAAGTGGGTCTAGAATGCAAGATTCTAGTTATGGTTCATGATAGGACATTTCTAGAAAGGTGTTGTAGTGATGATGCGTGTCCTCGGCCCCGAGGGCCTCTCTTTGTCTTCGACGCATCCATGTGTTCTCGATCTCAGCTGCTCCGACGAATTGGTCCCCAGTATTTTCGTTGGACCCAAGGAGTTCCCTCAGGTCCGAGGAACCACATTGTCAATCCCTGAGTCATTGGTTCCTTAGGAAGCCAGTGACTGACAACTGAACCAAAACTAAACAGGCAATTATAATAACACTTTGTACAATGGAGTCAATATGACTAGATGAACTAGACATTCAACTAAAGAGAGTCTAACGCATGACATAAAACATAGGATGAGTGGTGAAAAGATAGAACTATCCCTGCTGATATGCAGCTAATAGAAACATGTATTTAATGCATTTGTTAGTTGATAAGACATCTAACATGACTTGATAAGTTAAGAAGAAAAAACATTAAATGCTCTGGGATTCAAGCATTCAATGCATCAACATTGGACAAGGAGCATTGAATGCCCAACAGTGCGAGCAATTAATTTGAGAGTATTTCCCATAAAAAAATATGGGGCACATTGTCTCATCTCTAAAGATTATCTACTGACTAGACTATCAGCAATAATTAGCCTTTAAAGGTATAAATAGTTCTCAAAAATGCATTGCTAAAGTACGTGAAATCATCTCTCAAGAATCTAAAATACTGTTTTCTTCTTCTCCTCTCTCAAAGAACTGATTTAATCGTCGGAGGGGATATGTCGGAGAACACTGCGGCGTCCTTCTAACCTGTTCTTTGTGTTCCAGGGATTCCTCGAGAACCACCAGGATCGATTCGACAACATCACAAGTAGTTAATCATCGGTCCTTAAGCTCCCTTTGACCCTTTCAACCAATTTCTTGTTGTCGGATCGACCGTTCTAACGGATCGAATCTCACCATGAAAAAAATATATTCTCATTTCAACGATTGCGGAGAAATCGCCCCGCACACGTAACGTTAAAAGTAATACTACCATTCAACGGCGTGCATGTACATAATCTTCTTTAATAAAGCAAGAAGGTGCTGTAGACCTGTAGTGCATAATTTATTTGTCTTTTTACTTAAATTTTTTTAACTAAGAAGAGATGAGTGATTACTTGAAAACAATTCTAACGGTCCTCCTCTATTGTAGAAACTAATTTTCTATATAAGACCCAAAATAAAAAATTAAGAATAATATTATTTAGAATTAAAAAATATACGTAATTGGCAAATCTGAATTATATCTCAAGTGATAGTCACAATGAAAAAAAGTGTAAAAGTTACGATTACTATTAGATTCTATCAAGATCACATAATTTTGTTTTTTTTTTGAGCAATTCATGATCACATAATTAAATCAATAAATTAAATAAATTTTTTAGATCTAATTAGACTCAGAAACTAAGCATATCCTCCCATGAACAGGGAACTCAGAACAAATATTCCCCTTGAAGTCTGAGACATCAAAAAAGAGGCACCAAACCCAAAACAGAGGGAATTCTGAGCACATATTTTGAGGGTTTTTTTTGGTGGGGGGGTCAACATGCAAATTCACTAGAATAAGGAAACACCAAATTACTAAAACTGCCCCTTTGTGGGAGTTTAAGATGCAACCTCCGATAATCATAACCCTCCTTTGGTTTGTCTCTGAAACTAAGGATAAAGAAGAGGACGAAGCCAAAGAGACAAAGATGACAATGCCATTCTCATATTAATGTTCTCTGGCTTGTTTCAAACCCGTTAGCCTGAAACCCGTACTGTCTAGGCCAGTTCTTCAACCTGAGGCTGAGAGAGAGAGAGAGAGAGAGAGTGAGTGAGTAATTGAGATTCACGTGAGAAGTGAGAGGAACACAAAATCCAAAAGCAAATCTAAGAGGATCCGAGCATTAGGCCAATAAGAGGAGGCCAATAGAGAAAAAGTGGATTATGTGAACATATGGTTGCCACCTTGACTGAGAACGACAACAGCTACTAAAGAGTAAAGACTCTGCCCTGCACCCCCCCGCCCCAAAAAAAAAAAAAAACCTCTCT